GTGAAGATGTCAAAATGGAGACGATGAATAAAATTAGTAAATAAGAGAATAAAACAATTTTACAACATTGAAATGTTAAAAACCCTCAAAATAATAATAATAATAAGAATAATAAGAATAATACACACCAAGGAATTCCAAAAGATATAACAGCATATCCAACGGGATACTCAACAGCCGACTTGAAGGACTCATCTGTGCGAGATCATGATAAACTTTTTTCTTTTTCGACGACGAATGCGTTAAGGTACTACTTGATCTGGCACGCCTTATAGGTTGTTTTGTGAGTCTTTTCGGCACATGAGTTTGAGCTTTTATTTCTTCAAGAGCCTTTCGTTCCAATTCTTCACACTTTCTCTTATCGTCACGTCGTTGTATTCTAAGCGAGCGTCTAACGATAGGACGTTCTCTTGGCATGGGGTCTTTTGAAAATTCCATGATCATCCTCAAATTAATATTAATAATTTTTTTTTTTTCTTGTTTATATTGCTATATTACTTAACCTTCGAGGAAGTTATTATTCGTTTCTTTGTGTTTTTTTTTTTTCCTTTAAATACAAACACTAACCAACAAACAGGGAATATACAAAAAGATTTTTTTTTTCTATGGAGATATTTTATAAAAAAAAAAAAATAATAATAATGATATAAATTCTTGGTTGCCTCTTTTTATAATAACCCAACCGAGTAGGTTTTATAATCTTTTTTGGCAAGAAAGAAAAATATATTATTTTTATTATCTTTCCTATCTTCTATAAAGGTGTCTATACAGTTCTCTTTGGTTTTAATTTTTTTTTTTTTGTGGACTGCAGAATTATTTTAATGTTGGAAATCCACAATGTAAGGCGATTTATTTTCACAGATGCAGGAAAAAAAGAAAGGAGTAGGTATCAAGGAGATAAAAGTTCAGAGGTTGGGGTTGGAAAGAATGTACACCAGACAAAATGAAAAAAAGTGGGTAAAGTCTAAATTTACAGGTCCCCGCTATTTGTTTATCACATAAAAATATCAACAAAAGCTGAGGGTAATACGTCGTAGCGAAAGTGGTGATTATTTGTTTGTGACGAATGTGTACGTGTATGAATAGGTAATAATAGTAAGGCAAGAAAGAATAATGCACCTTTGTAAAAGGGACCTACAACTTTTTGCACTTTTTAATTTTTTTTTTTTATTTCCTCGACTTCAACAACCTTTGTAAACAGAAACGCCACGAAAGCAGAAAAAAAAAAAAGGATAATAAAAGAAAAGCGAAAGAGAATAAATAAATAAGAAAAAAAAAAAAAAAAGGGAAAATAAGAGGAAAGAGAACGATAAAGAAAAAATTTTTTTGGAGAGAATGGAGAAGGTAAAAAATAAAAAAAAAGAAAAAAAAAAAGAAAAAAAAAGGGTAGTAGATAAACCGAAGAAAAAAAAAATTTTCCGTCACTATAAATTATACATTCAGGCTAATATATAATAGTTGTCGAGTCGGGTGTGTCGTGTTGTTATGTTGGTGTGCCGTACTTTTCTAATAGTGCTTTATCATAGTGAAGCTCCTCTGTATTCAGCCGTGTGGATGATTTCTAGTTTATGTCTTTTAGTTATTTTAGTTCGAGAATATCATCATAATTTAGAGGGATGTGTTATAAGGAAAAAAAAAACACGACAAATTCGAATGAATACACAAAAAAAAAAAAAAAATTTTTTTTTTATGTTTAGTTTAAAAAATAATAATTAAAAATTCTTTACAATAATAAAAAAAAAATTTTGAAAAAAAAAAAAAAAAAAAATTTGCAAAAGTATATATATGTGGCAAGCAAATTAAACTCAAATTAGTAGAGCGGGGTAAATGCAGCATTTTTTTTTAGTTCTTTGGATGGATTTGAACACAAAAAGGAAGTGTGATTGAAGATCTTGTAAACAATAAAGTCACATATATATTTATTTTTATTAAAGTAAAAAACGGTTTGATAATAGGGAAATTTGATCTTCATGTTGTTTATTATTTATTGTTTCAAGAGGAAAAAGAAAAAAAGGTATCTAAAAGCCGAGCACCGTGGCATTTAGAAATTTTGAGTTAGTGTTTCCCTTGTGTTTGTGGTAGGTGAAGATTCTTTTTTTTATTCTTACAAATAAAAATTCGGCAAAATTATAAATCTTAAATTTCCACCTTCCACTTGTCACTTGGAATTGTTTTCGCTTTAGCTTGATTTAGTTGGTTGACACCAATAGGATCATAATGGTTTCGTCTTGAACATTCGAACGAACAACATTGTAATTTTTTTTTTTTTTTATTAGAGAAATTTTTAGGTCCTATTCAATTCAACATTTACACGCATTCACACACACACACATTAATTAAACACAAATTAAGTAATACACATTGTTAATCACAAAAAAAAAAAAAAATTTTCCCCCCTCAAATCACAGGAAGTGATATCATAAATATCTCATAGTTATCTTAATCTAAACGTTCTAGTCCATCTTTGGAAGAAATAACAAGAAAAAACATTGGAAGGCATCAAACTATATTAAGGTTTATCTACACCTAACAAATAAGTTTTGAATCATCTTAAAAAATGATGTTAGAGGGACGAGATGAAATCACTCTTGTTTGTGATTCCAAGATTAATTAAATTTTTTAAAATTGCGATAAACATTAGATAGGCAATCACTCGACAATTTTCAATCCAAGTTTAGATTACAATTGTTTTAATACTTACCTAGTATGGCCTAAAGTATTTGTCGGATTGCCTTTGGTCGATTCGTTAATTCAGGGATGGGAAAACAACAAATATTTTTATAATATTTATCCTTTTTTAATATTTAAAGGGATTTTTCATAATTAATATAGGCCGGTGAAAATAGGAAGGAAGGTTGTTGCTCCGTCATGTTAATTTATTCTAGAATAGGTGTTTGAGATGATTGTTTCAAGAATTTTTTTTTTTTTCGAGATAGGTTCCGATGCATTCATGGTCACACAACGCGTAAATACGGAAACGAAAACTAATTTGCTGGGGGCTTGGTTGCTTGACACGTGAATGTGCTGGCTTGATCACGCTATGTTGCGCACAGAGCCACTTCTCATATGGCAAGGTTTCCCTTTCCTTTCCTTTCTTTTTTTTTTTTTATAACAAATTTTTTGTTTATTCAAACTTATGTGCTTACAGGCATAGCTCATATGCAGGGAACATGAGGCACCCTGTTTTACGAATTACGAAATATCACGAACGACCAAAAAATTAAAATGATAAAGAAGTTGAGAAAGTTCTCCCATCTCAAATTTGTTAATGATGTTCAAAAACCTATATAAAGGAATTGTAATGTTTGTATGTGATTGATTTAGTATTAGTGTGATAAACAGTTTATATAAAACGAGTTTAATATAAAAAAGAATTTTATACATTGTTAATTCCAATATTAGGATTCCCCTTTCTCCACCCAAAAACATAATCTTTGATAATTTTCTAAACAAATTTCGGATTATCTTTTTGGTAAAGGAGTTTCATTGTGTTCAATTGGAACTAGTTTCGATGTGCGCTTGCCCTTTCCAAGGAAAAAGATGCACTTGTTTGATCACCCACCGGTCATCACAATGGTGCTACGCTACTATTTTCGACCTCCCATAACAACTATAACGCTATGATACTATCATGGCTTGCTGGCTAACCGGATCTCACGATTTGAGGCTATGTCTCGCTTAATTTAAGAGAGAAATTTCTTCTTTCCTTTTTTAAGTTTTTTTTTTAAAATTAAAACAATATATTTATACTACTCACTGTAAAAAACTTTGAACCTAGATTTTTATGTGGGTGGGCGGGTAAAGGAGGGAAAAAACACTTTTTTTTTTAATCTTATTTATTTATTTATCCTGTGAGACCAAAATAAAATTTTATAGGTCATTTGAAAAAAAGAAGGTACCATTTCCTTTATAAATAGGTGATTGAATATCAAAATTTTTTTTTTTTTTTTTTTTTTTTTCATTCCACGAAACAATTTCTTTTTTAAAAAAAAAAGTTTTTTTTTTTTTTTTTGTTGACTGATGTGAAATCATGATTTTCTGGTAAATCATGTTCATAAAAGTATAAATTAATCGTTATAACGCCAACAAAATAATCCTTCCCAGACATGAAAAAAATTCTTTTTTTAACTTAAAAGGTGAGAGAGAATTGAAATCTTCAATCATATTGTTTTCTATTTTATGCTAATTGTCGCTCATTTGTAAATCCTTGAGGTTTTCTTTATTCGTTGAATCAAGGACCTAAACTTATTCTCAGATAGTGACTCGTTTAAGCCAAGTGGTGGCGCAGATGTACGACCATGAATGTGCAATGACATCATCTTCCGGTCCTTGTCAATAGTCCTGTTTCTGTTCTGTTCAAAAGTGTACAAAATATTTTTTTTTTCTGTTTAATCTTTGGAAACGTTGATAAGGAACAATGGTCAATTATCAAAATGATAATGAAAAAATAGGTTGTATTTTATCACAATTGCTGCGCGTAATATTTCTCTCAAGCCAATATTGTTATATTACCCACATGTAATGAAAATTGATTGTAAATACGACACCTTCCCAATCAGTTTTTGTTCTTGGTTCAATGCATCCCCCTTTTTTTTGTTCCTTCCTCCTGATTTTTCACAATTTTTTCACCCGGTATTTAAAGGTTTTCTCATTGTTTCTCATGATTTTTTGTCATAACATGACGTACGAATAATCATTCATTCTTTTCATTTTTTTCCTTTTTTTAATTTACGCCTCGAAGGTATTAGAATGTTTATTGCATTAACATGAATAATCATTTTTTTGTTTCAACTTTGTTCCCAATTAATTGGTTGAGATTGTGATTGTTTTTTTTTCCTTTTCCAACGTGCAACCATTTAATTACTGGTTCTTTTTTTTTTTTTACAGAGAATTTTATTTATATAGAAAATCGTGATAAGGTTCTTAATAATGCGATTTTTTTTTTGTCTTTAATGATATTTCTATGCAAGCATGTATATATGTATGTATATGTATGATAAATAAAAATATTTTTCTTTATTCCCTTATCTACAAAGAGATGTGAACATTTAATCTAATATCACCGATATTCTTTTTCTGTTTTTCTATTTTTTTTTTTTTTTGCCTCCATTCCGAGTTTTTGATCATGTTTGTTCGAATTGTACGCTTGCTTTGATTTTCAATCGTGAATAATGATGGCTAACCGAAAATTTGAATTTTATTTTCTTTTTGAACTTGATATTTGGTAAAGTGGGCTCTTGCATATATCCCTTTGTTTTGTAAAAAGAATCAAATGCGCTCCAATCATATCGCCCCATCCAGGATTACATCATTACTATTACATGTATATAATTTATCAATTTAAACCAACCAGAAAAAAAATCTCTTCTTTCCCCCTCTCCATATTTTAATTGCCTTAGTTTGTTTGTTTCTTCATCTTGTGTAAATCATAATGTATG